TATAAAGCCACACATCTACCACAGAATACCCAAATATAAGTGTCATATACAGAAGCCAGGTAAAATTAAGGATGCTGAATATATATGTCTTTAATCATTTAGTTAACTGCTTATTACCATCTGAGCCATTTTAATAATTACATGTCTGCAATTGCAAAATAGAATTATTATATTTTTGTTATTATGAACAATTATTTAAGAATTGGGCCCAAGTTGGGATGGGAAACAGGGTAACTGATGAGAGGGTCCATGGTAGTGAAAATATTGGAAACCTGTGGGTGCTTCACAGACATCCTCTGTACCTTCCCCCACCTGTACCAGTAACACATACCTGAAGGCTAATAGGAGAAACACCAATCAACTAATAACAGTGGTTGCAGCATCAGTAGTCACAGTAATAGTAAAGCAGTCACGTTATGAGTGCATGCTCGATAAATATGTATTACCTAGTAGACATTTAATCAAATTTGCTTATTTGAAATTTAGAGCACAGAGACCTTACACATTTCAGCACTAAATTACTCCTAAGCAGGGAATCTTGAGAGCAATGGCTTTCTGATGGCATCTAGATCTCATTAGCCAGTGAAGACACATACATGAAGGCGGCCCAGAGCTTTTCTGTTTTATCCACCCTATTCCTTCCCCTTCAAACACAATCCCTGACCAGCCTCATGAAATCAACTGCTACAAGTAAACTGGCAAGCATTCTCCAAATCCTTGAACCCTAGAGTGGGGGCCGGCTCATGCCCCTTTGTAGAATTAGGTAAGAAGTCTCTAAAGGGGAGGGGGGCAAACAGACAGCAGCGAGTCGTGTTTATTTAACCCTGTCTCAGTAGCTGGTGAGCAGTGTTTGTTGCACATGAGACCTCGTGAGCTTATTATAAAAGATGGCTGTGTGGGAAGTGAGAGTGGGATGATGCCAATGACTGGCCACCAACGAGGAGGGGAGAGGGAAATGATATTTTAGAGCTCCCCACTAAAATTCGGGAAAAAGACTGCAGTAAATTGTTCAATGTCCAAAAATTCCTCCTGTCTTAGTCTATTCACCTCTTTAAAATCTGACTTTGCTGTACTTCCCATCTATATGTGGAGTCTGTTTCTCCACGCTCAACAATCTGGGCTGGTCTTGGGATTTATTTGGACAAATAGAACACAGCGATGGTGATGTAGAACAAGTTTAGGAACTCCAAGCCTCAAGATGCCTTACAGCTCGGGACTTCGCTCTCTTGGAAAGCGACTCTGACACGCCATCAGAGAAGATGATCTGTGAGAAAGACCTCTTGAGAATGAGAGAAGTCCAGCTATGCCAGCTGTCCCAGCTGAGCCCAGACCCCAGCCAACCGGTCAACCAAACGTGACCCATGAGAGAAGCAAGGATTGACTAGCAGGAAGACTATAAGTCAACCCACTGAATCCTGAGGGTAAAAGATCATTGTGTTGAAGTTTAGGATGGTTTATAATGCAGTAGCAGATAACAGAGACAGAGGCCTACAGATGTGGCTGACCCTTCCTTTATTCTTTTTTTTTAACATCTTCAAAAAGTCTAAGGACAGAGTCGGAAGTGACCAAAGGGGACCATTTTATGTCTTTCTGTTTCAATGATTTATGAAGTTAACTGGAAATTCACCAAACATAATTTTTCATTCTCAATGTTGAAGTTCATTTGCCTTTAATTGGAATTTTTTTTTTTACCCATTTCATGTAAAAAGAAATACCACAAAGCTAAATTTAAATACTATTCTAATGTAAACACTGAATTATAAATTTGATGGTTGAGGGTTAAATGACTTTCAAAATTTTTTTCCTGGGAAACTAAAAGCATTTGTAAAAATAGGAATAGGGATTTTTTTTTTTTTTTCCCTGAAAGTTCTCAGTAAAGCAAAAGAAAGCTCTGTGATCAAATTATCCTGAAAGCCTTAATTAAAGTCAAATGCTAAGGGTGATCTCAACTTCCTCAATTTTATTTTCTAATCCACATAGAGAAGCATCAGAAAAATATTCTTCAGTTCTTATTTACATACTTCATGATAGGGCTCATTTATTCTTATTTATGAGTTTACATATATTTATAACACCAACACCAAATTAAATAAATATATATCTAACTAAATATAGCCATAAGACCATTTCTGCAGAGAATATTAAATGTATGGCTATTTACCTACTCATCATTATTCTGGCAAGCATTTCATGAGATTGCATTACTTTGCAACACCCCGACATTTCTATTATAAAGTTTTCCCAAGGTGTCTCTAGCAAGGCGGGGAAGAAATGTGTTTGTATGTAAGTTCAAATATAATGGACGAACCTGACTGTAAAGCCTACATTTGCAGCAGGAGTTATATTCAGAGTTGCCATAGCAGCCACCCACACTTACACACACACATAGGGGTGGTGGGGAAAGAAAGAAAAGCAGTTAGCAGAGAACAGAATCTATTGTTTAAAAGACAGAGGTACCCATCAATGTAATTACAAGCAGGAGCCTAACGTTTAGTCTGAACCATTGTTTAATGAGAGAAGATTTCCTAGTGTTGGAGTGTTTATTAAATGATTTTTCTCTAAAGGAATCTACCATCTGCATCCTTGGCTTTGAATTTTACTGAATGCTGAGATTATGCAGGAGGAGGAGAGAATTCAGCTGAATATGCTCACACTAGGGCCAATATGATTTAACGTTTCCCTCTCTGAAACATTCAGAAGCATTGTCACTAGAAAAATTTGTGGTTCTATGGATCTGAGCAAGTTACTTCACTTTCTGAGTCTCCTCATCTATAAAATGGGTATAATAATAGTATATATTTTAAGGAAATGTTATGAGAATTCAATAAATTAGCACAAATAATCAATTATTAAATGAATAATAATGATAAATAGTTTTACTAATACATAAGAATTAGTAAAGTATTAACTAGGTTAGTAAAAGTGAAGCAATTGGTGCTTGACAGATAGTAAATGCTCAATTAATGTTTGCAATAATAATAATAGCTATTATTTTTATTATTAATATCTCTAAGTCTTTATTACAGTCTGGAACAGTATCATTTATAATTCAAAAGTTGCTGAAACAAATGCACGCAGGTGGCCAGCAGACCAGGGGCAAGACAAGTTGTTAAGATTTTTCCAGTACATAAAAGGATAATGCCTTCTCCCATAAAAATGCCTTTGAAACACTATTTTGCCACAATAAAAAGGCAAGTATATTATTATAGTAGCATATTCACTGCTATTGGTAAACATTGGTTACACAGCAAAATCTAACATCTATTAGTGCTAAAATATTCATGTAATGGTATTTGGGGTCAGAGAATATTCCAGAATTTGTCTGCCATCATTGGCATCATCACATGTTTATATACAGATACATTTACAATTCATACCCAGATACAAATAGAAACATCGGATTTAGATATGATGGCAATGAATGAAAAGTATTCTGCGATTTCTGATTCACTCAAGTTTTAAATCTCCATTTTAAGGCTGAGTGCTTCATATTCTAGCAGAGGCAAAACATGTAGTCAAGCAACTTAGTGAATAGGGAAGAAAATGTATAGGTTAGCATATTTTATATCAGGCCCAGAGGTACCTTAGTATGTGAAGGAGAAAGCAAGGCTGATGGGCTAAAGAAATCAGGGAAAATTAGAGGAACAGAGTTGAGGAGCACAGAGAAAGGGTGAGGAAGGAGGTGTAACAGACACATTTTGCAAAAGTCAGAAGGCAGTGGAAGAAAGAATGGATAGAATAGAATTGAATCCTTAACTCCACAATAAATTTTTTTAAAGTCCAGGTGGTGAGGAATAGAATTAACTTGGCTTAAAAACTTTAAAATTGTTAAAATGCATACTCTATGGACTCTCAAATTATCCTGCCATTGTAAATGTTATGCACAATGGTATATTTCCTCTCCTAAACTGGCCTTCTATTTAGTAATCTTTATTTCCAATCTCAAGTAGAGATGTCACAGGGTATTGCTATATATTCTCTCTGCTTTTAGTGATGACTTGACAGGATTGCATTGGAAATATTTCCATTATCAAATAGCTCTTTGAATGTAAAAATAATCCTGAGTTTTTCCAAATCACCAAAAATAATCAAATTCGGTTTTCGATTGGTCCTGAGTCTTTACAGATCTCTTGTCAATGAGATGAAATTGGAAAGAAGTAGATACTGGCACCCCAAGGAGTGGGGTGAAGGAGAACTCCCCAAAACATTTAAATTCTCTAAACTTCTTACTGGAGTTTATGGAAAAGCCAACAGAGAACACATCTGGAATCCAATTCCATAGCTGCAAGGCACATCCTGGTGATGGAGGGAAAGGCTGATGACAGCATTGCTGGAGTCAAGAGTCGCCTACTTACACTGCTCTTCTTTCTATTTCTGCATACCTGTAATGCACTCACTTACTTCCACCAAAAGGTTGTAATATAGCTGTACTTGGGGCCTGGCTCTTACCACTAAAATAATAGCCAATACTCAAGAATAAAGAAAAAATATAATTTCTAAGGACATTTTGGTTAGTTCTATGAGAAAATATTAAAACACTGATGAGATATTATAACGATCTAGTTACCAATAACAAAAGAGTTTTCTAGAAAAAGAGTGCCCCCTTCTCTACTCCCACCAGGGAATATGAGAGCTTGAGTAGGCAGCTAAGAATCCTGGATAATCCTCTTGATTGTGCTTTTATAAGTTCATGGGGAATGCTACAGAACAGATTTGTTTCCATTAAGTCCTGTTTAATATAAAGACAAACATATTCTTAAATGGAAATGTTAATGGCTATATTTTTTGATATAACAAACTACTCACACACAATCTCATGAGAGTCAAGTGACTTAATTTTATTCGTAGTACAAACAGCTATTATTAAAAATAAATTAAATGGCCTACAGAAAGCTGTTAATGTCCTATCAGTGACTTTCATTATGGCAGGGAAAAAGCATTTCTACGTTAGAAGAATTAATGGAAACACAGACTAAAGTGAGTTTATAATCCTTACTTACTGTCAGATACATAGCTGCATAGACACTGAGAGCTGCTTCTTTGGATGGAAATGTTTTCCTTGCTCTCATGATAAGATCCGGGTTGCCAGTGCAGGCCTCTTCCCCGCTGATGAACTGTGTGTACTGCTGGCATCCAAGTGCTGTATAGTTGGGCTTACACAGGGCAAGGAAATGTGGAGCCAAATTTCCTGTAACAACTTGCCCAGCATTTACAAAGATATCTGTAGCAAATAGTCCAAATGTATAAATTCCTAAGGAAGAAAACAAACAATTTTAACCCTTTGCTTTTTTTTTTTTTTTGTATTTTAGTGTACGATAAACCAAAATGGAAATATTTTAGAAACTTTAAACTATTCCATACACGCATACACATGGTTCCTTTCATTTCAGTCCTCCCTGGGCTTTCTGGAGTGATGGGAGTGGTAAATTATTTAACATATTGAGCTGTTATCACGGGCTACGTTTTCCTGCGTGGCAGGTTTATAAGACATAAGGTAAATAAAGAAAACATATTCTAAGACTGTGTTTTGGGTCATGCAATATTTTATATGGAGACATGAATATCTTGAGAGGGTATATAGTCTGTCATGTTCTACTCACGTTAGCAATCTTTATTTTTCCCCTACTTTTGAAAATATTTTTTATCTCAGTAACATAAAACAAAGTGGCTATCTCTCTTTGATTACGCCTCTTAAGCCCATTCAGATTGATATTACTCTACTGGAGGTACCAATTAGCAATAAAATCCAGGACCATCAGTTTGCATCTAAATATCATGGAAAATCTTAAGTAAAGCAGAATGCGTTCAGATTAAGCTCTACCTTGCCTTCAGAAACACATTTTTTAAAAGTCACAGAACAGCTAGTAATTTAGTCCCACCTTATATTCTATAGATTGGCCTTCAATTTATCAAACTTGCGGAAAATTTAGTAAACAATAAAGCAATCATAATTAAAATTTCGCAATTATCTTTATACTAGTAAATTTATTTGTTTTGGTTGTCTGAAGGTATAAAATTAAGTGCTAGATACTTTTTTCTACTTTTGTAAGGAACTTGCCAGTTTATGTGAATACCAAAAACATTTCCTAAACTCAAAGTCACTGGTCATTATTATCAAAACTTATTTTTCTACTTAGACAGGCAAAATAAATTCTTTGGTATTAATTTCAATTAAATTTACAGATAGAACCTTCAAGGATATGGTACCAATGTAAAGAAACTGATTCTTTTATAATTTTGGAAAATGAAATCCATCAGGATCTTTTACAACTATTCCAAAATAATACTTCCAACAACAGTTTGTTTATTAAAAGTTATATAATTTTAAAACAATTAAATGTTTTTCTTCTTAGTCATTTATTTCTAGATTTTTTATTTCCTAAACATTTTCATCATTATTGGCTTTTGTATAGGAAATCACCATAAAATTGTACAGGATCAAATAATTTTCTAGTATTTGATGCATAGCTAGCCTTTAAATTTTTAAACTATTATGCAAGACTATAAAAGGTTTACCCACAAAAACCTGCACGTAACAAAACTCTGTGTGTATCCAAATGGCAATGAAACAATAATTCTAAAAATTCTAAAAGGAAACAATAAGAAGCTCTTTCTTTATATCTCACCAGCATTCCATGAGTCATACAAAGTAAAGGTTTTCAAAAACAGAAATTTGGGAGAGGCAGAGAAATGAAAGAGAACTGAGATCAATAAAATATTAATGTATAAAACCTCTCCTTCCGAAATCTCATGGCCAATCTTGAGAACCTAAATTATAATTCTTTTTTATCTGTACTCCTTTGAAATCTAGGCTAAGGTGTACTCATTTCATTTAACTAAACTGTTCTTTTTTTCTGGTGTGATAGGTTTTCCTGTTTAAAATGGAGAAAAATATTTGATAAGAATATGGAAATATCTCTTGATATTTGTAAAGTTCCCAAATGTGTTTTAGAATTAAAATGTCAGTGCATCAAGTCCAAAGCCAATATTGTAGTTGACTACACAGGTAATTATTAAAGTGAGATCTCATGAATATATCTACTCTGCTGACCTCAAGACCAAAGTCACTATAAAGACTGATGTGCTATCATGCAGTAATGCTTTACCTACAAGCTTCCATTTTATTGTAACTAGAAACATACAAATCATAAGAGAATAAGAAACAAATGCCGCTTCCCTAAATGTTTTATAATATCATATAATAAGTGAGAAGCATGCACAGACTTAAAAGCATACTTTGAGTCACATATTATTTAGAAATATGTGTGTATAAATGCAGGAAAATATTTTACTTAAACAGGTATAGTATAATTTGCTTAACAGCATTTATGAAAGCATCAATTTCATTAAATCCTTTCAGATCTGAGTACATTATAGATTTTGTTATTAAATGACTCTCATACAAAAAGAAATAAGTCAAGAACACAATATTGATACATTTTAAAAAATAATTTTTTAAGGTTTCATATAAAAGTTATCCCTTCAACAGGATAAATGAGGGCTTTGGAGCATATAACTTGATGGCAAGAAAAAGAACAGTCTTGGAAATAAAGACCTTTCGTCTTCAGAGAGATTCGAAAGCCTGATGACATTTGGTCAGTCTTTCATGGATTTCTATATAGACTAGGCAATTTGCGCTTAATATCTCCAAATTCTTCATCTTACCCCCTTCTTTATGAGAAATATGTTGAGGAGTTACAGTGTCCTTAATATGTCTCTTAAGCATTTAAGAATTTATCTTAAATATTATTTAGTATATACTTATATACTTATTTTTATCTGATAAATCCAGGAAACGATAATTTATATTAAATTTTATTGTGTCAGTTAAAAATTTATCTAGGCCAGGTTTCTATTGAATTGAAACAATTTTCAATAATTCATCAATGTTCATATTTATTATTGGCACCATTTGAGATTGAAAATTAAATTATCAGTGAATCTCGTTCTCTAATAAAATCCCCAATACACTTTTGCTTAAATAAACAACAGCTCAGAAGTAGTGCATGGAGTGCTCCATGTAGTAATTAACAAATATAACATTTCTTCTATTTGCCAGACTATTTTTCTTGTCCTTTATGATATTCAACCACCTATCTAGATTATCATTTCCCCCAAGCATTGTTTCTGAAATTTCATAAACACAGCAAATAATTTCTTTTAATTATGTAATTTTTAGTTTCTTTAAGAATATTAAATATCCAAGGGTGGTGTTATTTTTTCCTTAATGCAATGTGAAAATGGCATCCTGAAGTGGGGTCTTGCAATATTAGAGAGAACATAGGATGTAATATTTATTTTAAAAAACAAAGTGAAACATTTCAAAGAAAAAATAACCTAATATTTGCATAAGTTAAATTATGCGTCATTTTAAAGGTTAACTTATACATAAACATTGTTTCAGCAACAATAAAAACAATTTAATGAATACACACCAAGAAATCGGACAGTTCGCCGCACCAGTGGGTTTATATAGCAACAGTCTCCAGTTAAAATAGTTTTTTCCTGGTTTTCAAAATCCCTTGTGGCTAGTTGTAGGCAAAACACAGCAGTTTCTCCAACTATTATCTTGCAAGGAAATAAAAGATTTAAAATATTAGAATATAAACAGTATAGATGTATAATATTGTTATATAAAAAATGCAAAATGGAGTTCCTTTGATGTAATAATCTCATGTAAAACTGAGCCATATTTGCTTACTTATACCTTTTTATTATAATCTGATCCCTATGTATGTAAACCATATTTCTCTCAGTTCCAGGGAGTCCTAAATTGATAAATTATGAATAAAAATGAATTATAACATTTTTGCTTTCTAAAAGCCTTCATTAAAAATAAATAAAGTATCTTCACTTATTTTTGGTGTGTAACTAAATTCCATGTTTTATTTTTTAAGTAACCGTGTCTTGTTTAAATTTGACTCTGATACGGAATTCAGAACAGATTGTCTATGCAAATATTTTTGAAAGGATCTTCTTATACAGACATACTAACTTAAAATCATATTAGTACTTTTATAATAAGAAAAAAATTAATTTGTACATGTTTGGCCTTGAGATTATCCTGTTCTGAGACATTGTTAAGAATTGCAATATATTAATATTATATATTAATAGGAAATATATATTTAATATAAATAATATAGAGAATATATTAATAAAGAATATTAAGATATTCTTTATACTTAGTATAAATATGTTATTTTAATCTTTATAAAAGCCATAGAAAACAGGGAAGATTATCATACCCTTTTTACAAGTAGAGAAACCAAGTTTTGGAACACATGTGAATTGCCCAACAGCTAGCAAGGAGAACTAGTTTCCAGTATAGATTCTTTGCTCTACTATGCTGACTTATTAAAGGACCAGGCTATCTCACTTACATTCCAGTGGTTTTCATACATAGCCCTCAAAATCATCCAGCAAGACATTAGAGCAAGTATTATTATTCCATTTTACAGATGAGGAAATGGAGATTTAGGGAGGTTAAATAATTTCCATGTCTTGAGGCCAGTCAGAAGCCAAGCAGAAATTTCTGACTCAGCATCAGATATTTTGACTTCATTTAATACCATGAACAACAGAACAAGAAATAAGGTAAAGAGAAGAGGAACCCGGAGCCAATAGCATGTCTGCTGATCTGTCATTGTTAGGTTTGTTTTTAGTATGTCTTGTCAAATTTAGTTAAGACGCTATATAGGGAAGCCCTGACATTCCTCAGGGAAACACTTTTGGGGTCTCCATGAAAAGTGCTATCTATGATTACAAGATATTCAAAATAGCAAGTGGGGGACAGAGAAGGAGAAGAAGATCACAGCAGATTAGGTGTTTGACCTATTTTTACCCCAATGTGAAGGCAGATTATAAAGTATCTCTTCATTTTCATCCTTATTTCTACCTTCTTTTCTTCTTTTCTTATTTTACCTCTTTTTCGAAGTAGACCAGAGTTCAAGGTTAAACTAGAAGGTATTGAGCTGAACGACATTAAAAAAGAGACATATCTGGTGAGATGTGACAGAATTAGGAAAGACTAGAATTTCCAAATTCCTCCTGAATTTTAACTTTAGCTCTGGTGAAGTAGAGCAGGTGTGTGATAACACAGTTCATCCAGCCAAAGGAGGCACAAGAATTATTTCTCATGGGTATGTCATCTGGCACCAGGGCCCAAGGAAGAACTGACAAATAGACAAGCTGTGCAATTGACAAGTTCTTATCTCCCTTGACCTAGTAACTCTTTCATGTCCCACTCTTCTCCACTGCCCCTTGAAAAAAATTGCCACCACGATGCTTTCTGGGTTTTCAGATTCAACTTCTTCTGGGTCTGTTTTGCCCTGGAATGCTCCAAACTCTAACAATCCACCATCCACTCCACTTCATGAGCTGACTGGTTCCCCACCTGACTTGCTGCCTTCTCTGCCTCCTCTTCTCCACGGCAGCCTCCACTGGGTCTCCACCCCACAGCACCCTTACCCCAACTCGGGCTGTGAACACCCGAAAGTTCCTAGAATGTAGCAGGTACCCAATAATTCTTATTTAATGCATAAATAAATCTCATCCTCAAAAAATGCCTCATCTTTAATAGATCAGCTTTTCTTTTGACCTTTTGTCTGACTTCTAATAACCATCTTCTGCCTTGTTCCTGGGATGAAGGATCTACCCCATATCCTAGTTCCTATAACCAGATCCTGTAAGTGACATCCCTGCCTTGATAACTCCTTTAGTTACCATGTCCCTGACAGACTAAGAACTGCCTTGTTTGGGCCACTTTTCCCGGGGATAGTCTTTCCACTGGCTTCCCAGTGCTGACCTCTTTCCTGCATCTCAGCATGTTTCATGCTTCCAGATTTTCTATTTGTGTCTTGGGCTTATCTGTCCAAACAGTGTCTCAGGCAATACTGTTTGGCTGCCACTACAAGGAACCCACTCAAACTACATTAAGCAAAATAGGGAATTTATTCTAGGGTTACTTCCCTTAGAACCTAAGGGAGGAGTGGGTTGGGGATCAGATCCATGAATGGAAAGTCCTCAGGAGTCCAGGCAACAACTGCCTCCATCTCATTCTCCCTCTTCCCTGGAGTGACTCTGTGTACATCTCAGCTCCTCTGTGTACATCTGACTCATTCTTGCCTTTCTGTAAGCTAGTTCCCCTGCTTCTCAGCACACATGGTTTCCTCAACGGTCTCCAAAAACCTTATCTTGAATGTGTCAGCTCAGTTCAAGGAAACTGTTCAACTGATAAGATTTGCCAAACCCCAATTCCCAGGGAATTTGGGTTGAGATAGGGGTCTTTCCTGGTCCAATGAACCAAGGTGTGTAGGTGTGTCATGGTATATGAAAACTACCTCTGTGGCCAGAGAGGAAGTTCTCAAAAACAGAGTTGCTATGACCAGATGCCTACTTCAAATTGTCAACCGTCACATCTCAAGGCTCCCCTTGCTATCTCTAGGCTTAGCACACAACCTCTATCTTTTACAGGAATTTTCTCAAATAAATCTCTTGAATATCTTAATCATATTTCCTACTGGTTTTAGTAAAACATAAACTAACACAGCACCAAAGAAAGACAGGGTGTTATCATGACTACAAAAGGGAGGGGTTGTTATTAGACAAGTGTAGAGGATTCAGAAACGACTCCAACCAGAACGACAGTGTTAGGAGAGGAGGTAGCCTTGACCTCAACAGAGACTAAAGTAGATTGAGTTTGCCTTGGAGGCAGAGGCACATAGGTAGCACTTGGTAAATGCTAACCATTATTATAATCGTTGAAAAAGTTATTGGTAACAAGAATATCAACAATAAAAATGCAATAGCATTAATATACGGTCTAACTTGTATATGTAAACATATGTAATTGATGATATTGCTATTAATAATTGATATTCTTATTTACTTTTTCTTCCTAATCTTAGCACAGTACTAAATACAAAGCAGGGACTTTTCACTATTTTTTCTCCTATTTCTCTGTCCCTATGACTAATTTAATACCAAGTCATATTGATGCTAACGCTTACATTTCTCTTTTTCTCTTGAATTTTAATGAGAGGCTCTGGTCAGTGAATTACAGAGCTAAATTCTATATTCTTCAGTATTTTATTTTGTCTCTTTTTCTTCTTTGTCTAGAAGCCCTCCCTGGTGGACATCATTCCTCCTAAGGCTTTGCCAACCTTTGCTCCTCTAAGGAATACTAAATATGTACCTTTCCCTAAACTCCAGATGTAGGTCCCCATCTACCCATAAAATGGCAATATCTTAACATACTCAGATCTACCTGTGGAAGTTCTCACAGCCTTCCCATCCAACATCAAATCCCAGCATCCCATCCCAAACCTCCTGCTTTTCTGTGTCACCTTCTCAGTTAATACATTCATCCTCTACTTGGACGATCAAGCTAAAAGTCTCATGCCCTGATATGTCATGATGATGCCTTCATTTTCCTCATTTGCTTCTATCAATTGATTTTTACTTATTTTGGTTTTTAATTGACAAATAAAAATTGTATATATTTATAGTGTACAATATGATGTTTTGAAATATGTATACATTATGTAATGGCTAAATCAAGCTAATTAACACATTCATTACCTCACATAGTTATTATTTTCTGTGGCGAGAACACTTAAAATCTACTCTCTTAACAATTTTTAATTATACAGTACATTGTTATTAACTAAAGTTATCACATAGTACAAAAGATCTCTTGAACTTACTCTTTCTATCTAACTGAATTTGCATCAATTGCTAAATCCTGTTGATTTTGTATCTCAATTGTATTTCAAATATGACCATTTTTACCATTATTCCCATTTTAAAATCTAGTTCCTCTTCATTTTTTTCCTACATTAAAGCATCCTTGGAACTCATGTTTGTACTTCTATTTTCTCTGCTCTTCAAACCATTACTGCCAGATTAATCTATTGAAAACAAATTTTGAGCAATTCAAACTTCCTATTTACAATTTTCAGTGCATCCTCATAGCCTATGGATTAACAAGAAATGTCATAAGAGATCATTTACAACTGAGCCTAAATCCATCTTTTTCAGCTTCTGCAACTCTTACACAGCCTTCAGACATATTGTGTTCTAGTCACAGCTAAACATTTTCATTTGCCAACATACCAGGCATTTTCATACAGCCAGGCTTTTACACTGGGTCCATGGCTTACTATAGCTTGGTAGGCAGGGCATTGTTCTGTGCTTGAGACATGATTTAATGCCTATTCTATTGCAACTTTATGTCTATTCCTGGTGCAATTTATCCTTCCCTGCTCTGTGTTCCAGTGGCACTTTGTACCTTTATTATGGCAATTTCCATGTTTTTATAGCATCAGTAATATCTGTCTCCTCCACTCCTCAATTGAGAGCTTCTCTGAGGCAGGGATTGTGTAATGTTTACCTTTATACTTTGATTATTCACGCACAGTGACTGACAATAAATGGGAATACTGTGTGAATGAATAAAATCCAGTTCAATCTACCCGTTTTATAGATAAGTAAACCTATCCAGAGAGAGAGAGAAGTTAAACATGCCCGAGTTGTATAGTTACTGACATAGCCAGAATCTCAATCTA